GATATGCCATTTATCACAATGACAGTGCGTAGGTAGCACTGATCCTCTCACCACAGGGGGAAGCTAGAGCTGCAAATGCAGAGCAGCATTAAAAGCCCGACGAGTGGAGTTTGGCAACACTTGTACTACTCATTAACTTAATCATATTAATTTATTAGCCATATATATCAAAGTAATTCACTGCTGAATTGTCACCAAGAACAATTTATAAACTGTTAACGCTCCCCATTGGCAGGGAAGTGCTGCAGTATCCTTAACCAGTATGTTTGCCTCCGATTAAAAATAATAATTTCTACCAAGCCAGGTAATGCCAACAATGACAAAGTTGTACATATGTTTCTCATTATAAATGGAACTTTAAAGTGACATCTACGACAACTGAAAAAAAAAAAAAAAAGGATTACGGTAGACAGTGAAATGAGCTGCAGAAATAGTAGTAAACATACAAAAATGCTCAGAGAAGTATTTTGAGAAAGTAAAAGGTTCCCTTTAACTTTCTGATCATCTGCTCTCAGAGGTTCTAGGACTGCTGCCAGCCACAGCAGCCCTACATCTAACACCTCAAGAGGTGAAATCAATCCATAAATTTTCTGTTAAGTGACCCTGAATGAATGTTTATTCTTCAAGTAACTTTCTTAAGAACACAGACACCCTCAGAACCTGGTTTTGGCACTGCTGGTGTTTGCGCACGTGGAACGGATTTGCTGCTTTCAGTCCCACTGCACCTGTCCTAAGGGACACCCCTACTGCCCTTCTCCTCAACCCGGGACACATCTCCCAGTTCCACAGGCAGCACAGACTCACGGGCACTATGGCTGCACTCATTTCAGGAAAAAAAAACAAGGAGGAGACCTGTGGAGCAGTGGCACGGAGGAGTTCCCACAGGTAGCAGGGCCCTGTTGCACGGCCACATGCCCACTTCCATAACAAACAACTGGGAACCAGAGGTGTTAGAAGCCTCTGGCCTCCTCCACTCCTCTTAAACAGATGCAACCAATACACACGCTCAAACACTACAGCAAATACTGCTGTATTCTCTCTGTTCCCTGGAAAGGCTGAGTGACTGCTAAAAAGCACTGCTGAATTGGAGTAATGCACAAAGTTACCGTAATCCTGTACGGTGTTTTTTTGTTTAAGTCCCACCGTGATGCTATTTGCCTTATCTATTACAATAGTAATTTCACTGAAATATCATATCTTGAAACTATGCAGTTCACAACGTTCTTAACTATTTTTAAGTTAAAATTACACTGAAAAACTGTTCATGTCAGCACAAACAAGTCAACATTTTAATTATTGTTTCTTATAAACTCTAGACAAACAGCTATTCAGCTAAACAGTATCTGTTTTTATTTTACAGAAATAATAGTAGTGTTCCAACACATTGAATAGAGAAAAACCTGTAATGAAGACTTCATATAGTGCTTTTTTTAAACCTTTTTGGGTATCAGCTAGATTACAGGCAGAACAACTATGACAAGATCGAGCTACTCTAGCAGCTTTGCTCCGTATCAACAGTTTTCTGAACTGCTGATTTAAATAACATAATGGATTTCACTTTCTCTCCACACAGTAAACCACTGCTTCAGAGCCTAAAAGTTCCATCAGTAAGTCCCAACCATCTTGTTAAGATATACTGAAGACAAAGCCCTGTACATTAACAAAAAAACCCCAAAGGCTTTATCTCCTATTAATGTCACTTCATCACACTGCATTGTGTGAAGAAAAAGAAGAAAGCCTTTGATAACTGTCCCTCACTGACATATGGGATTTTTCCCTTGCCCTCACAGCAGGCAGGGGCACCACGCTGATTTCGACATTTCCTACAATACAGGAAGCACAACACTTTCTCCTAAGCTAATGCAAAATGGACAGTACTCAAATATCAGCTCTTGGGCAGGGTCATTGTGCTGTTTGCTCAAGCCCTTCCCATCAGCATGCATCCTAGGCACGCTGCCTCATCGTTCTCAGTCACTGCAGGATAAGCCACCCTGCTGCTCCAGCCTCGTCCTCAAACATTCCCATTCCCCAAAGGCAGAAGGTAGCTGGAAGTGTTTGAAAACATAGGTGCTTCACTTAAACTGCTTTCCCAATTTCTTGCATGAGAGTAGCTGTAGTCCTCTTTGCCAAGATGTAAAAAATTATACTCTGCACTGGGAAATGCAGTATGCCTAATTTAACTACCTGTTTATTATGTGAAAATGACCACGTAAACTGAACTGACACAAACCAAATGGGTGATGAAAATAACAGCACATTTCAAGGAACGGAAACGCAGATGGCTCACCCAAGTCTGCAGGAAGTTGCTAATCATCATTCTTGTAATACCCTCTACAGACAGATGTGTGAGTTCTATGGCCAGAACAGCAACTTCTTGAGACGTCTAACCATCTAACCAACAGCACGTATGGATAGAGACCACAGACTAAAGGGGAGGCAAAACTAGAATGTGAAATGGATGGATGAATCACGCTACATCTGCTAACATGGAGTCTGTTACCAAAATGAGTTATCTGAAGAATAAAACAGTTTTGATGGTAATTTGGTCCCATCTGAAAATGGCTTGATCACATAAAAAGAGAGAGTCTGGTTTAATATATTTTTTTAATACTGCAGGCAGATTAACATAACCATCTGCAAACCATATACAATTGAGATCCCAAATAAGTAAATTAACACTTGGCTGATACACAACACTTTAATATCCTTGCAACTTTTACTCTATTAACCACCACTCAGAAGCCTGGTATAAAAGCTTTCTTTCTTTACTAAGTGTTAAAATGTTTTTTTGTTCTTAGCTCAGCCAAAAGGAAAGAATCCAACTGCAGAAGTGTTGAAAGCAACCAGAGGAAAGCAGACAGTAATTAAGTGAAAACAAATATAAATAAAGCTAATGGAGGCTTCATATCCCAGGTGCTCCGTCAAGTTTGCAACAGCTTAGATCCCCCACTGAGTTTACAAGTGGCTCTTTTGGCACCCTTCCTTACTCAGCACTTACCCCAACTTTCCCTGTGCTGCTTTTCTTTATGAACAAAACAAGACCAAAACTTCAGGGGCTCTGAGTCCTGAGACTACAGAGCCATTGGTGCAGAGCACCTGTGCCATGGGCTGGCTACAGGACGCTTCACCCTCAGGGATCCATCTCACCTGAGCACTCAACAACTGTGATGCTTTGGAATTGTGTGTTTTTTCTTCCCTGCAACTTAATCGCAGAACTCCCCTTCAGCTGCTTGAGGCACAGTGTGTGTGACTTCTGCCATTTGGTCACAAAGGTTTTCACATACAGCTCACAAGGTCAGAAAGGCAGCCACCCTGGGCCTCAGCTGAAAGGGGAGCTTGGGGGCACCTGGGGGCAATCTCCTTGCACAATATTCCACAAGTTAAATGAAGTGGGATATGTCCCAGTCACCACTTCAGACTACAACAAAAAATTCAAAGTCTAGAAATAACTACACTTTAGACATTTTTATTCACGCACTGTAATACTTAATATATGTGAGATGCTGCATCTAGATTCTATTTTACTGTGCAACACAGAGTTTGCCAAATATTTTCCAATTCAAAGAAACACTGTAATGTGCATTTAAAAAAAGGTGAAAAAGCACTACGCAATATTCCAGATTTCTCACAAGTAGGTGACTCTTGTGCTCTCCTGTTTATTGGTAATAATCCAAACAATTAAATACCCATGAAATTCCTGGGCTAAGTACATGACAGAGATACTAAAACTGTCAGTTGTTATTATAAGAGTAACATACAATTCCCAAACTCTGCTGCATGTATTTACAGTATGTGAAGTTGCACTTGTTTGACTGTGGCATCTGGCTGTACTAAAAGGCTTTTATACTTACATTAACTACTTCGGGTTTCTCTGACTATTGCTTGAGAATGTTTATTTCCATTTTCACAGAAAAGGGTTATTGGTTCTCTGTGAAATTGTCATGACGCTTGAAGTTGTAGGAGGAATCAAAGTCCTCAGCTTTGTCGCTCTCCTGGACACTGGGACTCACTGAGGCACTCAATCACTGCAACAGGTTTTGCGAGCAGAGACCACAGTCACTGCATTAGAGACCAACACTTAATTCTATGATTGCTATGAGCTGTTCTCTGCATTCTGCTAAAACCTTTAAGTTTGTTGTTAGAGATACAACATGTTCACACTGGACTTTGACAGTAATCCTAAAACTGCGAGGCCTCCTGAATATTTAAATAATTACTGTTAGGAATATAGTCTGTCAGTATAGCTGTACCCTCTTGATTTTATTAGCAAAATGAACTCGCCCGTCTTTGGGATACCATCAACTAAAAAAAAAAAAAAAAAAAAAAAAAAAAAAAAACTTATCAAGATAGCTTAATTAGGGACTTAAGATTTTACTAATAAATAATAAAGTGGAATAAAACACCATGCATTACATTTTGAGTAGAGATTGCTTGTAATTTCATGTTTTTATGCTTCTTTTTATATTACGACATTTAATGTAGATTATTAAAATAGGATCTACTGTGGTAACATGAACTTATCTGCTTTCTGAGTGTTTCTTTTACATCTCGTAAAAGCATTTTGCTATCTTCCCAGCATACATTAACAGTGTTACAACACAATACACATTAGCCACGCTGTTCATATCCCATGAGAACTAAAACACACATGCATTTGAAAGGAAGAAATGCATGCTACAGGGCTCTCTGAAACAATTGTTCATTTTCTCTTTTTTTTTTCTTTTTTTTTTTCCCCTTTTACTAAAATAACATTTAATGGAATTTCCTGCAAGGAAATTACAATTAATAAATTACAAATTAATAAACTACAAATCCACTAGATTTCAGTCACTGCAGCAACAAAACAGAATTTCCATGAACGCTCAAAAAAATCCAATAATGTAACCTCTGCTAAAGCTTGAAAAAGCCATGAAGGACAAGGCACTTAGATCAATATTAGTTTATTTTAACTGCGGTGCAGTATGAAGCGATGAGGCTGATCATCTGATGGATTTTATTACCTGTCGGAGAGATAAGGCCTGGTGATAAGAGGCCTGGAACTCCATGGGGCAGAAGACGTGCATTTTCCTGTATCGCAACTCCGAGTGAACGCTTCGGGGGTCTTCCTGGCCGTGAGCTGATGAAACAAGAAGATAAATGAAAATGCTTTTTATTTCTCAAATATTTGCTTACTATACATAATATATGTATAAAATACACAAACTATCAAAAATACGTGAGATTATATTAGCAGTTCTTGCCTAGGAGGAAAAAAGAACCTCAGTCAATTAAGCATACAATAAATGCATAGATTTCAAATGAACTAACAATACATTGTCAAATAGCACCTGTAGTTAACACAGTCGTGAGCTCTACATCACATAAATGATGAGAAAACTTTCATTTTACTTCCATTAAAACAGCAGAAACAAAACAATCCAGATTCTAGTCCTAGCATATCACTACCTTGCTAATTTTTAATTACATTTTTAATGTTTCTCAGTACTCCTGCCAGCAAAACGGAGCACAAGAGATTCACGTGCATGTTGGTAAAGTCTTGAAAATGCAACTAGATGCTTTACTCATCTCACAAATGGAGATTTTTGGGTAATGCAGATTAATGATGCAATGACTGGGGGGACACCAGAGCCATTCAGATTAGGTCCACCGGAATTTATTAGCTCCGGTTCAATTGAATACAACCACCATTTACAGGCACTTCCACAGCAACTCAGCCAGCCTGGCTTCAGGGAGGCATACCCACATGCACCTCTACAATCCATGTACTAGCCAAGGGTTTCCCCGCTCCTACAGGTCACTAACAGAGAGATATCAGCAGTAACTGCTCCCCAGTCTGAGCCATGCATGTGCACCAAGCAAGCTGAAAAGCCACGCTGACTCAAATTTAAACACAATGCAATCTTTATGATATTAACCACCTTGTTCTGAATCATGGCAGCTAACAGACTATTTCTGAAGACTCAGCACTAATTTAATACTCAGCTTTTCCAAAGCTGATTACTTCACAGACTGACTTGTGGTTTTGACTACCACACATAGGTTAAACCAAGTATGTCCAACCTGTCAAAAACTCCATCTTCAACCACCTTATCAATTATGCCTGTGATTTTTAATCCAAAATGTTAAAGATCTGAATATTCATTTACAGTACCTATTTTTTAGCTATCGTGTTCATCTCTTAAGTACGCCTGCATGAAATCATGCTATACAGCTACCATAATACAGATTTACAGAGCAAAGACCATTTGAATCAACTTTCCCAAGACAAATAATACAAATATAACCTCCTAGTGTTTGCCGAAGTACTCCTGCTTCCCTTAGATCAAAACAATTTTTACTTTGCTGAATAATAGAGCTCTTGACAAAATATAGTGAAGCACTGCATGAAGTAACTAAGCTGCAACAATGTATGAGGTTTGAATAGAGAACATTTCCAAAATGACTTCAAGTCCGCAAAGACATTTCAGTTAAACCTCACTCCATCAACTTATAGTGCCAAAGCTCTCCATCAATGTAAGACAAACTCTGTGTTTAGATGAAGACAACTTCCAGCAACACTGCGCAGAGGTACCATTAACGTGTTCATTTTTCACACACTGTGCTAGTGCTATTTTGTTTTACTGTACATCAAGGTAGCACAAAATCATTTTTTCAGTTTATTATTTTCTCTCTAAATAACTATCCTGTCCTTTTTTTAAGCTTCAGGTTTGCCCACTTTGTGTTTCATCTTATTTAGTGCATTTTCCATTTTACTTTGTTATGCTTTATCCTACTATGATGGCTTTAAAGTACGGCTTACTATGAAAGCCCAGATTCATGAGGCTTTAATAAGGTAAACCTAAAATAACAGCATGCAAATTTCACAGGAAGTTAGATGCACAAATGGATTATCTATTAAAAACACCTGCTGAATGGCCATCTACCATACCCTTATTAGGCTTGTACGTGGAGATGTGAAATAAAAATGAGTTGTTACAATTTCAATTTACACAAGTCTGTGCACACACATGAATCTCTCGGTGCTTAATTGGCACTTAATGCATTTGCAAAAAAATCACAAAAATAAAACACCAAAAATGAGCAGTTTTCTCCAACAGTTCAACCAATTAAACCACAAAGTGTTCCCTTCTCAAGCTCAAATACTACAAAATATTCGCAACACTCTGTATGTTCATATAAGCTGTAACAAAAATCTCATTAAAAAAAACCAAAAAACAAACAAAAAAAAACAAATAAATGAACATTTCTAAAAGAATTTATGAAGAAACATTTATGATTTATTATTTTTCATGTACCATAACCATGGTTTCTTCCTGGGAGGGCAGCTCAAAGAAAGCACCTATTTGAATACAAGCATTTATAGTTTTCGGCTGAAAGAAAATTCTGGCATTTTTGTTTGAACACAAAGCAGAAATCTCAGAGACGGGATAAAAATGTTTGAAGGAAATCTTACTTTTAAATGCAAGATTTACACAAAGGAAACAAAAGCTTAGTGCATTAAAACATGCGATGCGCTTCGCTTTATCTCCAACCACGCTGCTGCCGGCGCTGGGCTGGCGCTGCCAAGCAAGGAAACTCACTTGTCCGTCTGCACATTTCCACTGCCCACACAGTGCAACTTATCACCTTAGGAAGCCTGGAATTTCGATTCACACTTTCTATTTAAAACATATCCGACCTTCACAATTTAGTGAAAATGTCTAAGAAATGCCTTCAGAAAGGAAACAGGACTATAATACATACGTAATATATATACGTAATATATAAAATTTATTATTTTATAACTACTAACTTTGAAATGTTAGCAGCACTAGCATAAACATATGAAACTTATTTAATATTATTTCCCCATATCTTTTGACACCTAGCTCTTCTATTGCTGCTTCTTTTCCACTTTTTCCTTCATGTCATTAAGAGAATTTAAATACTTGAAAGCTTGTTTCTTCCTCACTGATAACAAAAGGAAGCAAGAAGCTGAATGATCAGCTCTGAACAACTTCTAACATTCCTTTACATTTTGTATTTGCCATTAATTTGCCCTTAAGAATGGAAAGTGACTCTATCCTCAGTAAGATGTTACTTCAAACACAAGCTGCTGGCTTACAGATACATCTTTAAATTATTTTAATGTTAAAGTAGTTTTATGGCTACAGTCAAGACCACAGAGTTTAAAGGAGAAGTACAATACAATCTCCATCGATATGTATTTGGTAATCATATTCTTTTTACTACATGAGTGCGAATAAAATGGCCAGCTCTAATAAAGTTCTACTATTATCCCTAAAAAAAAAAAATATATATATAAAAAATAAAAAAATAAAAAAAACCCTCTGAGTCATCAATTACTTGCCAAGAGAGATGGCTGGAGGCTTGGGGTTTTACCTGTGCTTAGGCTCCCATTATCCTGCTCAGCCAAAAAGGTACTAAACATGAAAGAGAACAATGACCTGTCAGGATAATATGATCTGAATATTGTTTGTTTCTGTATTCTGTTTGGAATGAAATTCATCAGAGAATAAAATACACTTTATGAGTACATCTGACTGTTGAAAATTATACAGAGAATGTTCAGAAGCCACTCACAGAGTGAGTTTTTTTTCCCCTTCATTTTCCATTCCTGTTGAAATGTAACTTTATTATTTATCCTCTGAACATTCCAAGGATTTTTAATTTGAAAGTTTCTATCAACCCCAACTTTTAAAATTCTATTTTACAACCATTACAGATAAGCATATTTTGGAAAACCCACAAATTCATCAACACTTGTAAAATATAAATAATCAGTGGAAACATACAGCACGTTACTGTTGATGTACGATAGTGCTCTACTTTTATGCTTCAAATATAAGAGATTTACTGGAATCAGAAGTGAATTTGCATATTCATCGAGACAAATAAACACGTGGTGATTTAACTAGGAAACTGTTCTTTGGATGACAATTTAATCAGCACAGGTTGAAAGGTCCATCACTGCAGCATCCTGTTTCTGCTAAAATATTGATTGCGTTACTGATTTCAGTAATGCTTTATTTTACAGGGCACAAATAACCATGTAATTACTCTTTAATTGAATGGTAATTGCTTGCTGGCAATTATTTGTTAAGTTTTGGAGTTTAATTACCAGGTTATTTGTGTTTTGTGAAATAAAATGTTATGTATTAGTAGTCTTAAATATTTTCAGTATGAACGGTCTGTCACAACTAGAAAAGTAAGTTACGATGGTTTGAGTTTGACAAATAACACTCCAACACTACTGCTATTATTAAAAGAATCAGATGAATCTTTGAATGCTTTCCCTTTACAAAATTAACATTAGATGTAACATTTGTAAGATAAATGGACAAATACTGTACCACAGAAGCATGATTTCCTCTGGGGTCTAGTCCAGCATTTAGCATAATTTATCCTGATGTTTTGCTTTTCATTCTCTGGGCCTCTTTAGAGGAACTGAAATAGTATCCTAACCTCTTGAGAGCAAAGAATAAACCAAGTAGAAATATATTTCAACAGTACTTCATATTTCTGCAACTGAAGTGGATTACCACCAGCACATTATCTTAGCAGCCTATAAACTTTGTAGAGTTGGCAGTTAGCTAGATAACAAGGGAAAGCATTATGTCTCACAGTGTCAATGAGATATGACACATTCTGTGATATATTTATTCCAAGTTGTGATAGATGAGGTACCCAATACTTTGATCGTTAAAATCTGAATTTTACCATTACACTTTCATTTTTGTCATCAACTATTTATGAATTGGCAGTACGCAGTTTAGCAAGGACTGCCTATTTTGTTTTTTCAAAAGATACCCAGTTAATAAATTAATTATTGATTCCATGAGGCTTGAAATATGTGGCATAAAAATATGCTAGACTTGTGATTTAGAAAACTCTCATACATATCGCATGTTTCTTCAACAGCAATGTATTTTATTAGGCTTAGAGGAGAAATACAGAAGTAGTGTATCACACGTTGTGTAAATTACTCTGATAACAGCAGCAGTAACTGGTGCAAGTGCTTACAAATGAAAAACCACCTTAGTTGCTTTTCTGAAATTCAAACAGGAACCAGAAATTACAACTTCGCTTTCCTCAAAGATCGTGAAATACAGGCTA